CGGAAAGTTATTCTTTGTTAAGTGACGCATCATCTTATCTTTGATCAACGTCTCTAAGATCTTCGAAACTGCGTCATCAAATGACGTAGATTGGCCATGCTTGGGAATGGGAAGAGTGTGTGATTCCTTCCACAACGTAGGATAGGTTTCACTTTCAATAGCGAAATTAAATAAATTGCATAAGAGGGATGGGAAGATCGTGTTTGCATCGGCTTTTAAAATGCTTACTGGGACACCGTCAGGTCCAGGCCTATGAGATTGACGAGAACGTCACATCCCAAAGAGTGAAAGCTACAGTTTCGAGAACTGCCCTGGTCAATGCCTGGATGGTCGGAAGTGGTGTGGTCGAGTCTACAATAAATTTTTTGGACAGGAGATCATTGAAGCTATCAGCGGTTAACTGGGCATCAACTATAGGATTTCCAAGAGCATCTCGGAGGATGGAATGCTGCGTCTTTCTGTGAGTTCGTATTTTTCTAGAGAAAAGTTTCGAGACATTTAACGAATGGTTTTCGGTAAACTGGATCTCCTCGGCCAGCTGTTTTTCTTCAGACAATCTATTAGCCCGCTCAAAAATATCACAAATCAAGGGTAGAACAGAAACGTCGTTCTGAAGATGGAATCGATGATTAAGTCTGCGCAATCTGCGACGAAAGGATAAGGGTAGGAAAACCTCATCCCCGACATTAATTATTTTCTTACGGCGGACAAAACGAGAGATAAGCGGATACAAAATTTCGTACAGTTTTCCAGCGCAAGCATTTACATCCGAACTAAGAAGGAAACCAGTCCAATCTTAGGAATTAAGGTGTTTTAATAATTCGGTTGGGCGAGTTGATCGGAAATCGCGGAAAAAGTTATACTTTGGGGACAACGTGTTGTCAGCCTCGAGTTCCAACGCCGAAACAACTACGCCATAGTCTGAGCCCCGGAGTGGGTCTAGGGATGGAACTGACAAATGCATGCAGCCTCTACATAAAATTAGGTCAAGTATGCTTGATCCTCGGGTGGGAAAATCGACAACCTGAGTCCACACCCCAACATCCGCAGCCTCAAGAATGTCTTCAAACCTTCCGGGACCGAAAGGCGGAGACCAATGGACTTCAGGAAGACTAAAGTCACCCGCAACCAATTGATACTTAAAGCTTAAGTCGGCCGCAACATGAAATGCTTGTGAAAGTGAACAGTCAAAATTGTCGTTGGCGTTGGGAGGGTGATAGACACAGTCAACGAGTTAGGAGAATTTTCTGTGCGTGACCGATCTCATGAAATGTTGGCCGAAATTCTGAAGTGCGTTTTCGACTAGGAAAGATTAATAAGGTAGCGTTGTAATATTAATTATCATGTAGCATAATCCTATAGTATATCGGACTCGCCACGATGTCGGCTTTTGAATGCACTTTTTTCTGATCTCTCGCAGAAACCGAACCCAGTAAAAAATGGCCACTTTTGTAGTTTGCACTTTTTACACTTATTTTGGATGGTCATACAAATTCAAATATATTTTATAGAAAACATGCACAAAGCATGTCTTCTTTTACTTGTTTCGTAGAAAATCACATTTTCTTTATATTTTATTTCCTAGGAAAAGTTATGTTTCGGTTTCACTTCAAGAGGAACATTGATAAACGGGCACGTGCCATAATGTATATAAAGACATCGCACGGTCTTTAAAACCTCATAATTAGAAACTTTTTTTGAAACCGAAACATAACTTTTCCTAGGAAATAAAATATAAAGAAAATGTGGTTTTCTACCCAACAAGTAAAAGAAGACATGGTTTTCTGCATGTTTTCTATAAAATATATTTGAATTTTTGTGACCATTCAAAATAGGTGCGAAAACGCATACTACTCAAGTAGTCATTTTTACCGAGTACGGTTTCTGCGAGGGATCAGAAAGAAATGCATTCAAAAGCCGACATCGTAGCGAGTCCGATATACTACAGGATTATGCTGCATGATAATTAATATTACAACGCCACCTTATCAAGCTTTCCTAGTTAAAAACGTATTTCAGAATTTCAGCCAGCATTTCATGAGATCGGTCACGCACTGTATTTTTTGTGCAACCTGGAGCCAGCAACTGCCTTGTACTGCGGAAAAATGCGAGAGCTCCAGCGGCAGAAGTGTAAGTGTTTGCTTAACGTAGACGCGACTGCCCCCACTACGGCTGTCTTCACGATCATTTCGAATGCAGTTATAGCCTAGAAGAGAGAGTTCGGAGTCAGCTACGGAAGATGATGCCCACGTCTCATTTACTAAAACGATATCTGGGCAATGGACGAACACCAGAGTCTGAAGCAAAGGAATCTTATTTAGCAGGCATCTAGCATTTAGAACAAAAATTTTGATGGGAAAGTCTGTTTGTTTCTGAGAGAGGTGGGCTACGTCGTCCAGTGCTTGGCTGCCCACGGAACACACGGTCCGGATGCACCCATCCGGTTCTGTAAAAACTTTTGTGGCATGAAAAGCTTCTGGCGTGAATAAAAAGGGGTAGGACTTGGGGGAGTAAATGACGGGCAGGGAAACTGGTAACCATTGTTAGCTAGCTTATTTTTAGCTGGAAATCCACGGGCCGGATACTGCAACGTATTCCTGTCGGAACGAAACTGAAGCATGCAATAAATTCTTAATGTGATTTCAGGACGGTAAAATTACAAGAAATGAAGTCACCAATTTTGGTAGCTTTGGTTGTATTCCGGTCGGCATGGAGAGAGATATCCAGACTGTTGGTATATTTTAAACTCAACTCTTTGATAGCGAAATATTTGGTCCTAGGCACACACTAGAATAGCACCGAGTGAGGCAGTCTACTAAGATTAAATAAATAGAAGAACTTTTGTGGGAAGGGGATTCTACCAGCGATGCCAATTTCCACTCAGAAAGGGCAAACAGATACAAGTGCATTTTTTCAGAAAAATATGCGTCGTAGTTTCAGGAAAGACTACAGCTCTGAGATCGTCAGCATGAATAAAAGACCAAGCACTTCGATGCCGACGACATATTAATAAATGTAACGTAAGTGCAAAGGAGGGTCTCATACAGCACCTCAAAGAACAATGCTTATAATAGGCCTCTCATATGAAACTGCAGAGGCGACCAGCCCCTTTTGACGAAAAAAGTCAATAAGGAGAATTCGAACTCCGCAATCTCCTATTTTTACTGCTATTCCTCTGTTTAGCATCTTATTAAAGGTCTTGATAAGGCCAATATAAACAACGACCAACAAATGAAGTCTAAAATTTCCTGTTGATCAGGGAAGATTTAACGATAGTCACGGGTCTGCATGATTTTACATATTGAGCACGTTAAACTGACCTAATAATGATAAGCGGCGAACGCATCTGGACCCCACTCTAGAGAGGCAACGTCCATTATATAGCGTAAATCATCTCATATGCACATTGCCCAACCCATGTATGACGTTGGAGATAATGCATACGTTGACTACCAAAATCTGAAAAAATAAATATAGGCCTTGTCGGTTTGCGCAATAACTCCGTTCGTGTACAAGAAACTTCGGGTGTTTTCTTCTACGTGCCCGTGACCGATCATAACAGCGAGATGCAAAAAAGAAAAATCTATGAGTCAGGTGGCCGTTTTCTAGTCAGCACCCTCTGTAAGGTTGCAAATTTGAGTGTTCTCATGCGTTCGACATTTTCTTCTGATTAGGGATGTAATAGAAAAGGTTGAGTGCGTAGAATAAGCTTAAGAGAATCCTTTTTAACGTGACACGCGACTGCATGATATTCGGACGCAGAAGTCCTTTCTCCTTCATCTTTATCGAAACGAATTGTCTGGTGTCTTATTTCTATAACAGAGTTCGTTAGGATTTATTTGTTTGTTTGTTGAACGTTTGTTTTTGAGGGTAATTGCTTAACCCTTTGGAAAACTGCTTTTTGACAGATGTACTTGGATTTCAAAAAACTTCACTGTAAAAAGAACATTCACACAATTTAAGCAGTATTGTTTTATTGGCACTTTCTGTATAGATTTGGCGCCGTCTCCAGTTCAGCTCCATTGTGCTGCGAGAAGATACAGGTCATATATAATAACCCGAGTGTTTCTTTAAACACTGCAGCAATTCCGTCTTCAAAACTGACTCAGGGAACCACTTGCTTGTTTTGTTATTCGTTGTGTTACGAATTTCGATTATAGATTCGGTCTCCGTATATTTATGCGTAGTTTCATTGATTGCAAACAATGTTGGGGCAAAAGGTGCCACTGCTACTTGCCTTCAAAACACGGTCCATACAGTATCTTACAAACCAAAACAGGTGGACCCCTGTCTTGTCTGTAACACAGAGGGAATGTGTTAAAACCCTTCAGTTCTTTAGGTAGAATCGATATTTTCGACTTTTTAATAGCCTTGCCGCACAATGTTATACTTTCCCAAGAGGTATTTGTCCTTTGCTAACCAGGATCAACACGTCTGTACGCCATACTCTAGATCAAAATGAACAAAGATGCCGTAAACCTTCCAAAGACCGTTTTCACCAGGGGGTCACGAATGTTCTCATGTTAGTGTAGTGACACTTAAGTCCGTTTTGTTTTAATCAGTTACAATACGCTTTTTAAAGAACTTGACACAACTTTGAATAAAACGAAGAACACGCACGTGCACTTTTACCTGCCGACGACTTTGTTCTTATTTACCAGTTTGTAACTGCTGGGATACTGTTATCTTCGTTTCCTAAATAGTCTACTCACTGTGCCCAACTAATGGGTCTATCAGTTACATTGGTGACCCTGTATCATTAATAACTCCTTCTGTTTCATTTCTGTGCATAACTATTTCCCTTCGGATTAATTCTCACTCTACGTTTTGTTGATCAGATTATTTATCTTGCCCTTATTTGCAATTCACGCTGTTTCCCCTTTTCATCAAATACGAGTGCTGCCCTTCAATCTCACTGTCAACGCACAGTCATCTACCCCAATTATCTGACCTATGACCGACATCAGCTAATTATTTCCAACGATTCTACCAGCCAGCCGATGGCCGGCATTCACACCTTTGACCTGCCACCTGTGGGGCTTGGTGACATCGCGTTGTGGCTGCGCATTGTAAAGTCCCGTTTCGCCCTCCGTCAGATTACACGAGAGGATACGAAATTTCACTATGTTGTGGCAGCACTCCCAATGGATATCGCCACCGACCTCCGCGACATCATAGACTGCTCGCCCACAGAAGCCCCTTATATTGCCCTAAATGAGGCTCTCGTTTGCCGCATTCCCCTGTCAACGCAAAAACGTCCGCAAAGTTTAATTTCTGAAGAGGACCTCGGTGACAGGAAGCCCACGCAGCTTCTTAGGCGTTTGGAGCAGTTGGTAGACGGACAAAAGCTGAATGCCACCATGTACAAGCGACTGTTTCTCCAACGGTTGCCTCCTGTGCAAGCCATCCTTGCGCCTAACATTCCTTCTTAGACTGTTCAGATGCTCGCAGAGACCACTCACCGTATACTCGAGCACTACTAGCCTCCTGTTACGGTAAACGTTGTTAGTCGAAGCACAATCGTCCCCACAATCGAGGATGTTATCAAACGCCTGGGTGCCCTAACTCTCGAGGTTTTCCAGCTCTGGGCCACCCGTGTCTATAACCCTCGTAGTCCTGCAATTACTCGCCGCCCGAGATCTCCCACTCCAAACCAACCTACAGTTGATGGTTTCTGTTGGTATCATCACAATTATGGTTCTAACGCCCATCGCTGCCACTCTCCGTGCAAGTACAAAACACCCGCGTCGGAAAACTCCCCTGTCGACCTGTAAGGACGATGAACGTGGTCGGCACATCCTCTCCCAGTCGCTTATGCCACATCTAGGACAGCACTTCCTGTTGTAATTTTTTCGTGGATACGGGTGCGAATATCAGTCTAATCCCACCCACCTTGGCTGAGCGTAAGTCACCAAACTCTTCATTTTTCCTCCAAGTAGCTAACAAGACTTCTTTTAAAACTTTTGGTCAACGATCCCTAACGCTATATTTGGATCTAGGACGTTGATTTCGTTGGCCATTTACTGTCGCTGATGTTCATACTGCCATTCTCGCCGCTGATTTTATATTCTTTTTCTGTCTCCTAGTTGACATCAAGTCCAGTAAATTATTTGACCCTTAGACTTCTTTACACTGCAAATGTTCCACTCGTGCCCTTTCATCACCTTATCCACGCATTTAAACAATTTCTTCCTCTACGCCCTATCATCGTTTACCTTCTGAGCTTCCATCTATCACGCGACCCTCACAATTTAACCAACCTATCAAGCATTCTGCTGTACATTATATTTCAACAATTGGACCTGTGTTTAGCCGTCCCCATCGTTTAGCCGCCGATAAGGTAGCCATAACCACGGCTGAATGAAGTCACATGATGGAGCCCGGCATAGTCAGACCCTCCACTAGCCCATGGGCTGCACCTCTAAATATGGTGTACAAAAAGTCTGTCGTTGACTGACGTCCATGTGGGGAATACCGACGAGTAAACACCTGCACTGTGCCTGACAGGTATCAAATTCCCCACATAGACGACATTTCATCTAGCATTGCCGGAGGAACAGCAATTTCCAAGATTGAATTAGTCAAAAGAAGTTCCCAAAACGGCGATAACAATACCGTTTGGTCTTGAAGAAGAAGAAGAAGAAGAAGAAGAAGAAGACACGATCGCCGGGACAAGAGCTTTATTAGCCTGACGTTTCGGATTCCTGCTCGAATCCATTATCAGAAACATAAGCAGATAAGGGTGGCTCATGCACATGCGGCTGCAGTATTTATAGGATGCAGTAGCCATGCTACCGCATACCTATAAATATTCACGGCTCCCTCCCCTTCATCAGGGATCGTTGCCCGTGGCGTGATGGCCGATATTCGCTTCGTTAATTGCTGCAATTTCATCACGTGCGTTGGATGTTTGTGTGATGATTGCTCGACCATCTGACGCGCTGACCCGGGTGTTGGGAAGATTGTTCATCAGGGCGCTCCCCGCGTGGCCAATTACTCCGCCTAGACGAAGTCTCAGCGCGCTGTATTGAATGGGAAGATCATTGCACTTGTTAATAGACAGGGGGGGGCAGTAAACCATGACTCAAGCAGCTCCCGGCTCACACAGTTGTCACCTCTTGTGAGAATTTCGGCCTCGTCAAATTTGAATGTGTAGCCGGAACCCGTCGAATGAGCCGCAACTTGAGAGCTGGCGTCATTTCTCCGCACTGCTGCAGCGTGTTCGGCCACTCGCGTTCGGAGCTCTCTTCCGGTTTCTCCGACGTAGTTGCTTTGTCCGCAACTGCACCAGATCCGATAAACGACTCCAGACGTTTCTAGCCGTGGCAGTGGGTCTTTCGGTTTCATGATCAGACGCCTGATGGTTGCCTCCGGCCTGTGTGCAACTTCAACCCCAAGTGGTGCGAGAAGGCGGCCGACAGCTTCCGAAACGTTCTTGACATACGGAAGTGCCCGCCAAGACTTGGTGTCCGTGCGGTTAGGCCTTTCGTCCATTTTGCGTATGCACCGGTTGACAAAGTTGCGCGGGTAGCCATTGGTTTTGAAGACCCGTCAGAGGTATTGTAGTTCGGCAATCTTGTCTTCCGGCTCACTGCAGTGCGTTTCGACACGCCGATAGAGCGTCCTTACACAACTGCGTTTGTGGCTGATTGGGTGGTTACTGTTGAAGTTCAGTACTTGCATCGTATTTGTCGCTTTCCTGAACACCTTGGTCTTTAGTCCACCACAATCCTTGCGGCATACGAGGACATCCAGGAAGGCCAGCTGGTTGTTCTCTTCCTCCTCCATCGTAAATTGAATGTCCGGGAAGACGGCGTTGAGATGTTCTTGGAATGTCAACACCTGATCCCGTCCGATGACGACGACGAAGGTATCATCCACATACCGGGCCCAGAATTTCGGTCTGTGGTGTTGGAAGACCAGCGACTCTAACCGTTGCAGGACCGCCTCGGCGATGAATCCCGAAATCGGCGAACCCATTGGTGTGCCCTTCACCTGTTCGTAGATTGTCCCGTCGAACGTGAAGTACGTCCTGAGACAGAGCTTCAGGAGCTGAAGGATTTGGGCGTGTCCAAGACGGTTCTCCGTTTCATCGTATTTGCTTTGTAGTAGCAGTTCAATTGTCTCGATCGCCAGGTCCTGGGGAATAGAAGTAAAAAGGGATGTAACATCAAAAGATACCATGACCTCATTTGGATGGATGCTTACCCCTTTGAGTTTCTCCAGGAATTGTGCTGACGAAGAGACCGTGGTGTCTGACTCAGCGGTCAGGAACTTGAGACGCCGGAACAGCCACTTCGCCAGTCCGTACGTTGGAGTCCCTTTGAGCGACACGATGGGTCGGAGAGGAGCGCCGTCTTTGTGCACCTTAGGGAGGCCATAGAATCGGGCCAAAGCCGTATCTTGGGGTCTCGCCATGCGTCTATCGGTCGGTGTTATTGCACCTGAGTTCTCCAAGGCCAACAACGTAGCATTAATTTCGCGTGTCAGCGCTTTTACAGGGTTCTTTGCATATGGGACATAGAACTGTCGGTCCTCCAGTAAACCTTTGGCTTTTTGAAGGTAGTCTGTCCTGTCCAGCACAACCGTGGAACGCCCGTTGTCCGCTGGCACGATGACCAGGTCTTTGTCGGCCTTGAGTTCTCTAAGCGCATCACGTTCGACCTTGGAAAGCACTTCCCGCGGCCTGTGGGCCATCAGGAGAGACGACACTTGGTGTCGGATGAGGTTCTTAGTCTCCTCCGTTGCCTCCGTCTGACAAAGGATTGATTCCACTGCTGCAATCATGTTAACAGGTTTGGCGTCAGTCGTGTTGAATGAAGCTTCGTGCCGTAAAACCTGCATCTGATACTTCGTCAGCTCCTTTTACGACAGGTTGTGCACCAGTTTGTCGTTTCTGGGCGACGTTGGATTGGGCAGCGTTCGAAATTTGTTCTCCAGTGCTGCGTCGCGTATCATTCTCTGTAAGCGGGCTTGTTCAGCTATCCTCTGCAGGAGCAGATTTGTACCGATTTCACCCATGAACTCACAGCATCTGGTCTTTTCTTCGTCAATCCTTTGACGGAACTAGCGAAGTCTCGCGTGGCAATCTTGGAGGAGCACTCAGATCATCCTTCTGCCATGTTGAAATACTGCTCGTCTCGCCAAATCTATGTTAACCGGAGGCTTGTATGAAACACATTTCGGTAACACATTATTGTCGAGACACCTGTGCAGAAACCGGATCTGCAAATATGTGGAGGCCTCCCGAAGGGCAAAGGTTTCCCATCGCCGGGCCGATCGGAGCGCATCGCGCCCAAATACATTGCCAATAGTAGAGAAGAGACGAGTCCCAGGAAGTAGTCTTGAAGAAGGAGACGCGATCGCCGGAACAAGAGCTTTATTAGCCTGACGTCAGCGAGCGTTTCGTTTGGCCCAAAGTGAACAATGATATTCGCCAGTGGACCCGTTCATGCTTGGCCTGTCAGAAGGCCAAAGTCGGAGGGCACAACAAACCCCCCATGGGCACTTTCCTCGCACCCGACGCACGTTTTGGACATGTCCATATCGATCTTGTAGGTCCTTTTTCAACATCGTGTGGTTACAACTACTTACTTACTGCAATTGAACGATTTACTCTTTGGCACATTACAACTCCCATACCTAACTTAACTGCACATTCCGTTACTTAGGCCTTTTGGAACACTGGATCTCTCACTATGGCGTTCCCTCAACTGTTACCTCCGGTCGAGACCAACAATTCGAATCTAGACTTTATAACAGCCTTACCGACCCCCTCGGATGTTCTCGCATACGCACGACAGCGGACCACCGCTCATCCAACGGCTTAGTCGAGCGTTTCCATCGGCAATTCAAAGCCTCGCCCCGAGCTCATGACAACCCTTTCCAGTGGATAGCATCTGCCTTTGGTCATGCTCGGTATCCGTACTGCACTCAAGCCCGATCTGGAGTGTTCCGCCGCCGAACTGGTCTACGGTACTAGCCTACGGATTCCCGATGATTTTTTCGGGTACTCTCAAGGCTCAGCCGACTTGGATCCCGGCGATTATGTGCAAAGATTGCGCCATGCCATGACTCATCTTCGGGCCACTCCTCCACGTGCTTCAACGAGTAAGTCGTACATCGACCCGAACCTACTAGCATGTTCTTTTGTATTTGTCCGCGTAGATAGCGTTCGTTGGCCACTGCAACAGCCCTAGGACGGCCCATTTCGAGTACTATCTCGAACGGACAAGCATTTTACAATTGACCGTGGAGGCCGCAACGACGCGGTCTCAGTCGATCGCTTGAAGGCGGCTTATACCGAGCCTCTTTCAACTTCCCCAACCGAACAACCTTTACTTGGCACATTGCCACTTGCTATTTCCCAGACTCCACGTACGCCAAATAACCCTGCGTCTTCACTTATCCCACTGACTCCTCCCCTTACACGCAGCGGTCGTCATGTCCGTTTTTCCTACCGTTACCAATTTTTACAATATGCATAAGACTCCCTTCTTCTCCTTCTATTAGCAATGACTTTTTGAACTCCGTTATCCTAGGAGGGGGAATATTGTAGTGACATTTAAGTCCGTTTAGTTTTAACCAGTTACAATACGCTTTTTGAAGGACTTGACGCAGCTTTGGATGAGACATAGAACAAGCACGTGCATTTTTACCGGCTGACGACTTGGTTCATATTTACTAGTTTGTAACTGTTGGGATACTGTTATCCTCGTTCCCTAGATAGCCTACTCACTGTCCCCAACTAATGTGTTTATCACTTACCGTAGCGTGTATCAACCCCCTTGACACTGACTACGGTATTGACGCATTACAGTGGTGGTTTCGAAGTGTTCGGTATCATAAATACCAAGACACTTTTGCGAATATTTTATGGAATGTCGAATTCCTCTCAAGAAATATGCCCTTGTATTGTCGTCTGGGGGTAGTCGGTTGGACGCAGAAGGAGGGTTTCACACTTCTGAACATTAAAATCCAACAGCCATCGCTCAGGCAAGATATGCAGTCGGTGCAGATTAAAGTCGCAGGCACTCGAGTTTATAAAGTATGTAATTAAAATTGAGAATGAAGAGTAGGAGCCTAAGAACCGGGTCATGATGAACACGACTGGTCCCATTCACCCGGTCCGATTGACATTCTCCTATACAGATGCGTTGAGTTTGACCAAAAGGGAATGTCCTTACTTAATTTAGAAGGTTTCCTTCGGCATCAAGGATGCTCAGTCTATGCTAAAGATGATAATGGGGGACACTCTGTAAGGCTTCGTGGATATCGATATGCATTACATCTACTTCGAAGATTTCCTCTAGAGCTTTAATCCACACCTCCAGACTAGTCGGAAGATTTGAGGGCAGAAACAACCTATTAGAAAAGCATATTTAAAATTCTCTATGATGTTATTTTTATTTCAGAATTTTACTACACCGCACATTATAAGGATTTTCGGCGTCCAACAAGGAAGGCAGGTCAAACTTATTGACCTAAAGTTGCTTACAACTATCCAACTACTCCTTTATTTAATGAAACAACAATGACTACCTGCAACGCCGAATTCAAGATCCTTGTCTGCATGACAGCCCGCCGGCTATGTGGATAACTCCTTTAATACCGGCCAAAGAAACCCACTGGTTCAGGAGACCTAGTTGGTTGAATATGAGCGAGGGTTCGTCGTATGTCTTCGATGAAAGGGCAAAGATTTCAATGGCGACAGTATTTTGAAACAATGCGTTAAAATTCCATTTTCTTGTGCGGGGGACCTCCGAGATGTAGTACAGTCTGCGGCGCAGGTAAAATGGCATAGTTTTCCGATTATTCTAATAGACAGATAAAAATGTCTTTGTATTTCGTGAGGTTTTGATGCAAACACCAATTTATCCCAAAAAATCTTCTCGCGGAACGAATACTGTCTCTATTGAAGTAGTCTTGTTACTCCTCATTCTAAATCGATGTCCGAGACCGCTCCAAAATAAAACTCTGACTAGTACATATGGAGGAGTCATATTTTTTGAAGTTTGGAGGCTCAAAATTCGGTATGGCTAAATTTGTTTCCACGGTGGGGCGATTTTATGGGTGAAGGAGTGCCTACACTCCCAAAAACAACAGCCAGCCAATAACTGGAGTCCACGTGCGTCTTCTCTACTGCGCTGTCAGCTTAATCGAGGCGCCTCTCCATTGGCTTCCCCCATCGGGCTTGATCAATCTGCGTATTCGAATTATCGACCGGCTCGTCTAGAATGTTCTTCCCGAAGGTCATTGGGCCGAATGCCGGCGAACCACAGCAGGGCGATATAAATATGCGTTACTTCCGGTTAATTTTGACTTGCAATTTCCAAATAGACATTTTCGTGGCCGGTCGCGTTCTCCTTCTCTGCCGCGTTGGTATTGGGGACAAGGGTCGAGTGCGTATACGTTCCACGGGGTTTCAAGTACCAGGCCGAGTCATAACAAATTGGCGACGCAGTTTTTCAACTACCATAGCTGACGAGTACGCCGACTTGAAGCAGATTTTGCAGCAGCAGCTGAAGCTGATGGAGGCCCTGGTCGTCAAGCTATCCAATTCATCCATGGGCCAGTCAAGCGCGGCTGGTAGTTCGCATTCTCTCGATCAAATGGCCAACAGCCTTACCGAATTCTTGTATGCCCCGCAGACCCATATCACTTTCGATTCCTGGTACAAACGATAGGAGGACTTGTTCTCTGTTGATCTGGCTGCCCAGGACGATGCATGGAAGGTTCGACTTATACTTCGCAAACTGAGTCCGGCTGAACACGAGCGTTATGCCAACTTCATCCTCCCCAAGAATCCCCGAGAAGTCACTTTCAAGGACACGGTTCAGACGCTGTCGCAGATTTTTGGTGAGCAGTCATCCCTTTTCAACACTCGATTTCACTGCCTGCAACTGTGCAAACGAGATTCTGATGATTTCATCACGTATGCGGGCATTGTCAATCGTGATTGTGGGCGTTTCCAACTCGGTTCTCTTACTGAAGACCAGTTTAAATGCCTTTATCTGCGGCCTCCAGTCCTCCAAGGATGCTGATATCCGGACACGTCTCCTGTCCAAAGTGCAGCAGAACAACTCTACCGCACTCCACGACCTGGCAGCAGAGCGCCAAACGCTGATCGACCTCAAGCACGACTCTGCAATCATTCAGAACCCTGCTTCATCGTTCTTAGTTCATACGGTCTCACCGACCAAATCGCATCCTGTTACACCGCCCAAGCAAGTGTCCAAGGCGAGATCTCCGCCATTTCCTTGTCGATACTGCGGCGCGTGGCATTTCCGCCGGGATTGCACTTTCCGCCAGCATCTCTGCCAAAGCTGCAATCAGGTGGGTCACCGTGATGGCTTCTGCAAGTCGAAACCAGCTTCTGGAAGCAAACCGGCCTCCGACACTTCTAGTTCAAGGCACCGTTTCCGGCCAAAACGCAAGTCCAAACACCAGTCCGTTGATCATTCTCTCAGTCTCTTGGCCGCTTTCCAGCTCAATGCGTCTAGTCGTAGAAAGTTTGTTGACGTTTCGCTCAATGGTCATGCAGTTCGCCTATCGTTGGACCCTGCCTCAGATATCACCATCCTCTCTGAGAGACTCTGGCAGTCCCTTGGCAGTCCCACGATGCAGCCGACTTCCCAGTCCACCAAAAGCGCGTGCGGTGGTCTCGTACAGCTAATTGGGCAACTGCAATGCTGTGTGTCATTCCACGGTACCAGCATCACTGTGATCTGCCGCATCACCAAGTCTGACCTAAAACTACTTGGTCTCGACTGGATTGAACAGCTCGGATTGGCCAATATGCCGCTCAGCGTTGTTTGCAGTCAGGTGCAGATTCCTGTTTTGCTTGCAGACTGAGCCAAGGACATTCTCCAACGGTTTGCTCCAGTGTTCCAAGACGGACTGGATCGTTGCACATACACTCAAGCCGTGCTACATCTGTCTCCTGGAAGTCACCCAGTCTTCCGTCCAGAGCGACCAGTTCCATATGCAGCTCTACCACTTGTCGAGGCTGAACTGAAGCGTCTAGAGAAACTGGGAGTTCTGTGTATCCTACTCCGCCTGGGCCGCTCCAATCGTTGTGGTTAAGAAGCCCAATGGCTTGATTCGCATTTGTGATGACTTCTTAACCGGTCTCAATGTCGCGCTGACGCCGAACTGCTATCCACTGCCAGTTCCGGCTGATCTTTTCACCCTGCTGAATGGTGGCACTTGCTTTGCCAAGTTGGATCTCGCTGATGCGTATTTGCAGATCGAGGTCGTCCCAGAGTCGCGCGAATTTTTGACCATCAATACCCACCACGGTCTGCTTCAATATACCAGACTGCCCTTTGGTGTCAAGACCGCCCCGGCCCTATTCCGACAAACGATTAACGCAATGCTCTCCGACATCCCTGGCACAGCTGGGTACCTGGACGACATCATCATCGTGGGTCCCTCCCCTTCCCCGCTGCAAGACCGACTGTGCGCAGTACTCGAACGCGTGCAGGAATATGGCTTTCGCCTACGGGCCGACAAGTGCCAATTCTTCCTCGACGCTATCAAGTACCTCGAATTCGTTTTTGACGTCAGTGGTCGCCATCCAGATGATGCCTGCACCCAAGAATGTGTCGCAACTTCGTTCGTTCCTTGGCCTAATCAGCTACTATAGCGCCTTCCTACCATCGTTGCATGACGTACGGGCCCCGCTCAACCGTCTGTTGCAGAAGGATGCTCTTTGGTGCTGGTCCCCCGACTGTGAAAAGGCCTTCGCCCAGCTAAAGTCGATGCTGAGTTCAGATCTGTTGCTCACGCACTACGACCCGACGCTGCCGATCGTTGTTGCTGCAGATGCTTCCAACCACGGAGTTGGTGCCGTCATCTCACATACTTTTCCTGATGGGTCTGAAATGGCGATCATGCGAGGAAGAACTACGGGCAGATAGAGCAAGAGGCTCTGGCCCTCGTGTTTGCCGTCAAGAAGTTCCACAAACTTGTACGGTCGTCACGTTGTTGACCGATAACAAGCCATTGCTATCAATCTTCGTTCGCAGAAGGGCATTCCCGTCTATTCAGCCAGCCGACTTTAGCAATGGGCACCCATCCTTCTTGGCTACGATTTTGACATTCTCTACTGTCGCACTACAGACTTTGGTCAGGTTGACGCCCTTTCTCGCCTCATCAGCAATCAGCAGGAACCTGCGGAGGGCACCGTGATTGCCGCCATTTCAATTGAGGACGACATGCGCCGTCAGCTATCAGACGCCATACGAGGTATCCCTGTCACTGCCGCGGACATCCGACGTGCTACTTAACAGGATTCTGTCCTCCGTCATGCCATCACCTACGTGCAGACCTACTGGCCAACCACTTCTCTCGCTGGTGGTCTTCGCCATCTGTTCCTCCGCCGAGCATCGCTATCTGTGATTGACTCCTGTCTCTTGTTTGCGGACCGTTTGGCGGTTCCATCTTCCCTCCGACCCACTGTACTACGTCAGTTCCATGCGGCCCATCCTGGTACCAGCCGAATGCAATCAATTGCTCGCAGTTTTGCTTCCTGGCTGGAAATCGACGGTGACATCGACGACCTGATTCGACGCTGTTTTCGATGTCAGAAAGCTGCAAAGATAGTAATAATTATTTTATTTGATGCCAGTTTACAGGCATTGTCAGGGAAGCGTTAAACACAAATCCGGTCAGCAATGAAAAAAAACTCCTGAGGTAAAGGAATAAAAATATAGTTGATGGTGGTTTTATGGATTGGAGGGTTCAGGAAAAAGAACTGCTGGCGACAAGCTTTCGATCGTCAAGAAGGGAGGGGTTGCACGGTGTTGCATATTATCAGTCGCCAATTTCTTTCATGAAGTTAGGGTTAGTCCAACCAGAAGCGCCGAAGAACAGCTGTCGCTGTTGGCCAAAGAAATTGTCCCTGGTGAGACCGGCTATATTGGTCAGAGACCACAAACGCCATCGCTACGGTAGAGTCGATCAGTGGATTCAGCACCCAAAACTTGTGGAAGTTTTTCTGAATGCAAAAATCGAGTAATAGTTATCTTAAATAAAGGATAGTTTTGCAGATTTTTCACACTCATTGGTAGTTTATTCCAAATAACAATAGTCGTTGGAGTGTATCCGTCTTATAAGCAACATAATCGAGGACTTGAACTCATGCTTTGACAATTTTTCATTTCCATGTATTAACTACCGAAGACCACATCTCAGTAATGAATCAAGACGCTGGGATTCCGAAGTTCCTCCAATAAATATTTACGTTTCTTTGTAGTTTTAGTTGCTGCATTGAATGCCTGCGTGGCAACGGACGATATGGCGTGATTTGTGATCTTTATTGCAGAACTCGTACTGGCTAATTTCATTTAGGCATGTAATCAGAAGTATAATAGCGTCTGTTTTAACGTCATGCCTAATATAGATTTGCAATACCTTAAAAGGCTGGCCTGAACACAGTCATGATTAAACTCATATATACCTATCCCATAGTGTTGCTCTGAGCATTTAGACTTTCGTTTGTGGCTGGCAAGTTTGTTGAGTATGTTGCTTCTGTGAGTCCTACGGAAGCAGCTGTGGAGAAATTATCTATGTATCAATAATGCGCATATGTGTGTGCCAATATTTGACCCTTATTACAGTAATTGCAGTGCGGTAAGGAGTCCAAGCTTCCTTAAAAACGACGCAAATACCCAGGGGCACGGAGTCCTCATGCCCGGTTAGAAACTTGACTTTTCTAAAAAAAATATGCAGCAGATATCAAGTTTTTCTCATGCCAAGACAGGTTGTTGACATACAAAACTCGTCAAGTCTAGAAAATCCGTCTTCGTGTAGATGACGTAGGACAAGGAGATCGCGGTGGACCGAAAATGTTGTGGAACTGACGTATTTAGAGAATAATCAGGAATTAACAACCCATGTTGAACGGGAGTCTTGAGACGTGTGTTACAGCATATATTGCCAGACCTGAGCTATTTATCAACTACCACTGAAGTAGTAGTAGTAGTAGTAGTAGTAGTAGTAGTAGTAGTAGTAGTAGTAGTAGTAGTAGTAGTAGTAGTAGTAGTAGTAGTAGCAGCAGTAGTATTACGAGGCGCAGATAGCAAACTCCCTTAATCAAGACTATCCATGGCACTGAAATTACTGGTACCAGAAATAAGGCCGCGTAATTTTCACACTTTCTCCAATCGGTCTACCCAAGCCAGTCCAAGCTCCTTACTCCCTCTGCGATTGATAATATCCGATACCGTGCAATCCGTCCCTTTTTGACGGTCGAAAGCTTGTCGCCAGTAGTTTTTTTTTCCTGAACCCTCCAATCCATAAAACCACCATCAACTATATTTTTATTCCTTTTCCACAGGAGTTTGTTTTACTGCTGGCCGGATTTGTGTTTAACGCTATCCTGACAATGCCTGTAAACTGGCATTAAATAAAATTATTATTATTATCATTATAAATACTGCGGACTAAAAGCATAGGCATTGTACTCTTTACAGAAAATCGCATCCAAAGAGGTCTAGAGGCCCTTAAGGGGTCGAAGTCTCCAGAACTAGAGAAGATTCCATCCAACCTCCTCAAAAAAACTTGTCAATTAGACTTATGTACTTCTGTCGATGCCCTTTTAAACATCATTTGACATTGGAGCACTTCCTGTATGCTGTAAGCTGACGCATATAACTCCCATATATAGAGGCGGTGGTTGGGCGTCGATGACAAATTTCAGGCCCATAAGCTTGACGGACGTTCTCAGCAAAATTACGGAGAGAATTTTTAAGATCGAACTGATGCAACTGATAATGATGATGATAATGATAATTTTATTTAATGCCAGTTTACAGGCATTGTCAAGGGAAGAGTTAAACACAAATCCGAACAGCAGTGAAAAAAAACTCCTGAGGTAAAGGAATAAAAATATAGTTGATGGTGGTTTTATGGATTGGAGGGTTCAGGAAAAAGAACTGCTGGCGACAAGCTTTCGATCGTCAAGAAGGGAGGGGTTGCACGGTGTCGCATATTATCAGTCGCCAATTTCTTTCATGAAGTTAGGGTTAGTCCAACCAGAAGCGCCGAAGAACAGCTGTCGCTGTTGGCCAAAGAAATTGTCCTTGGTGAGACCGGCTATATTGGTCAGAGACCACAAACGCCATCGCTACGGTAGAGTCGATCAGTGGATTCAGCACCCAAAACTTGTGGAAGTTTTTCTGAATGCAAAAATCGAGTAATAGTTATCTTAAATAAAGGATAGTTTTGCAGATTTTTCACACTCATTGGTAGTTTATTCCAAATAGCTATTGCATTTACACAAAATAACCGACTATATTTAACAATACGTGCCAGAGGAAGAAATAAAAATACCTCACGGTGACTGTTACGTCGTGATTGGACATGGTGTCTTAAAGAGGTGAGTGGGTTAAATGTGTGATTATATAAGACTTTAGATAGCAAAAATAGTCCCTTTTTTAAATCTACGGAACTATACAGGATCAAGGCCCGTAAGCCGGCAACGTTCTTGGTAAGACAAATAAAAAAATTTAAAAATTTAAAAAAATCGCAGAAGTCCAGAACTTTGTATCCAGCTGCCAGTACAGGTTCCACATAGGAAATTCCCCCAAGAGAAACTTGCCAAAAGCTCTCCAGAGCAGGACCCGACCTCCGGACGACAGACACGCGGTTCGCATCGCCTACACAGTCTTCCAAACGATGTTTGACACTGTACCACACAAGAGAATGCTACACAACCTGGAAAAATATGGATCGGGGGCAACTTCTTCAGACAGATAGAAAACTTTCTTGTGTAGCTGCATCAGGCTGTGTGCATCGATTAAGAAAAATCAGGTCCTGTTGTGGTCGAGAGTGGTGCTCTCCAGGGTTCA